CAGGAAATCGCTGTAGCGTACGCGGGCCGAAGACGGACTGTGCTTTGGTCCTTTCTGTGGCACAATCAGAACACGACTTGCCAAGAATAGATTAGCCAACTCCGCCTCATGGGATGGTAAGGGTAAAACTTTCTGTCCCCACTTCACATACACCTATGAATTTAAATTTATATATATATATATATATATATACATATATATGTATGTATACATATTTACACATATTTATATACCTTTATATTTTATATATACATTTATAAGATATCACGTATAAGACCTGTACGAAAATTGCATATCTGCTTTCAATATACAAATACCTCAGGTTACTCTCCTAGATTTGTTATTCATTCATTCCATGAATGTTAAATTAATGGCACTATGATCTAATATTTTTATCAATATCATTATGTTAATTGAATAATAATAATGTATAGGTATACCTGATTTGATTCGTGTAAAAACTAGTGGGGAGGATGGCATAGTGCCTTAAGGCAAATTGCTCGATCTTCCCGTACCAAAAATTATTTTTTTTTAAAAAGATTAACATTTTTTAAAAAAAACTTACTCTGAAAAAATTAGATTTTTGAGAAACTATACATTTTTGACAAAAATTTACTTTTTTTTTGAAAAAAAAAAAGACTTTTTGAAGAAAAATTTATTTTGAAATATTTTGAAAATTCTGAATTTTTTTCAAAGCAATCGTACTGCTTTAACTGCATAGAGACAAAATATAGAAGCGCGTAAGCGCCGCGTTGCCGTCTAACGGATATTAAACATTGTTACGAAACCCATAGGAATGTAAACAAAATTTATATTTATATTGGTAAAATCTCTATAAAATATCTGATAATTTGATGTGCATACATCTAATGATCATTTTTGACCGCCAAATGGCATTTTTTTACTTTTTTTACTAGATCTCCAAAACCGCTAGACCTGCCTTCATGAAAATTTGATCAGTTCTTCATCTTGTTAATACAACTAAAATGTTTTGAATTATTCAAATCGGACGCTCCGTTCTCTTAAAAACTGAGTTACTGTTTTTGGCACTTTTTGCCCCATATCTTCGGATCGGCTAGACCTGCGTCCGCCAAAAACTAATCAGCACGTCTCCTTATCAATACGTATCGAATGTTTTTTTAATTATTCAAATCGCTTCATCCGTGTTCCTGAAATAGTCGACGAAAATTTGTATCCGCGCACACACACACACATATACATCAATTTTTTCTAAGGTATGCCAAAATGTTCAGAAGGTTTTGAAACTAATAAAAATTTTCCTTTTTGTTTTTTTTTGCGATTACTATAACTTGCCCTACGGGAAGTTAAAAAATATTTAATCTAACGATAAGTATTACTCTTGATTTGTTTTATAATTCGCAAATGATAAAGCAATATTATAAGTAATAGTAATAGATTAACTAAATTAAAATAAGCAGTTAAATAGAATTCATAAGATAACAGGAAATAATAATGGTTTTTAAATATTTTGATAGTTGGAAACTAACTGCAATGTTGCTTTAGAAAAATTAACATATTAAAAATGATGTTATTGTACATATTAAAACAATTTTTAATTATCATAAATAGCAAAATAAATAGGAATAAATTTATAAATTATTACATATAAATGAATAAATGATTGAATACATAGAAACTATTCTATTGACCAAATTACAAATTAACTATCTTGCTAAGGTGCTTTCTTTTCAATAATCAAAGATTAAATTAGAATTCTATAAAAATAATTTGACAAATGTATCTAAATCGTAGGGGTTTGTTATAATGATTTTTTTTTCGGTAAATAACATTTAGGGTTTAACCCTTTTGACTCGGATGCCGCCGAGTAATATGGGTATTTTAGCCAGTTGGTAGAAATCAAAATGCTTGATTTTAAAATTTATGAATACAAATTATTATTTTTATTTAAATTATCAATTTTTGTATAATTTATTATTTAATAATATAAGATTAATCTTATTAAATAATAAATTATACAAAAATTGATAATTTCTTGATTTTTACTGTTTATTTAAAATACTGAAGCTAACAATTATTGTCACCTTTGATAAATTGCGATTCAAAAATAAAGTAAAACCTTATATAAAATTTACTTCACGTCTAACCCAGATTTTTCGTACAGAAATTCGACTTGACCGATATATGATATTAGCTGTTTGAAAACAGCCTGTTTTCATCAATCCCAGCTCAGTTTTCGCCAAATTTCCAAAAAAAATTCACTAACCACAATGTCTCAAGATTTTGTGATTTTTATATATTACTGAAATCTATTTCATTCTATATTTGTGGAATGTATTCAATTTCACAAATATGGACGTATTCACAAAATTTACACACACTATGGGAAAAATGCTTGATACAAAATACGAAAGTGTAACAGAATTTTTGGTTTTTCTCGTGTGTACATATATACTCATATACACACATATGTATGCATACGAACGAATATTCATAAGTTTAAAGAACGTGTTTTTAAGAAAAAAGTGTATGTCGACATACACACTCGATCGAGTAGTATATATGATGTATTTTCAGATGCAATTTTTGGTCGTGTCAGAAAAAATGTCCCAAACTATTCAAATGGTTAAAAAACATTTAATTCAAAAACAACAGAATTTATTTTGAAGATGTGACGAGTTGATTGTTTTTTTTTTAGAAAAATGCAAGTTTTGCGATTTTGGAGATATAAAGAAAAATTGTGCAAATCTTATATTCGGTGGTGAAAAATGATAATTTGACTTGAGTTTTAATATTATTTTTTACTTATAAAAGTAAATATTGCAAATGGTATACGTTTATATAGCATCATTATTAAAACAACACGAACTTATAAAAATTTTAATCTCATACAAATCCAGCCATTCGCTGCCTAATCCACCAAGAATGCTCAAAAAGACCTGGCTGCCGCGCCACTGATCTAACGCATGTTCCCAATCTGAATCAGTCTATTTATATGACGATTTTTTCACATTTATTGCCTTTTTATTTTATTTGTTTGATTTTATATCCGTTTATTATTGTATTTAACTTTTCTTTCGTTTTTACGAAACTTTTTCGTCTAATGAAATATTGCTGTTTGCAAGATTTCATTTTTCTCAGAGCTGATCCTTACGATTTAGGTTTTGTTTAATTTTTTTTTTAATTTTGGAAAAATGTTCGCATTCGAAACTTTTGAAATTATAAGCAATCTATGTTGGTCTCTTTTACTCATCACTATTTATTAAATAATCAAATACAGAAATTTAATTTTATTGTTTTAAAGCCTTCGATCGATAAATGGTGTTTTAATATTTCTAATAAAATATTATATAGACGCTGACTATCTTGTGCAACTGCGATAACATACTCCGGAAAAGTTCTCAATGGTTTATGTTCATTTTATAATATACTTTTATGCTATACTCAGTTTTAACTTCCTCAAGAAGAAATCAATGCTTTCGCAAAAAATCCGACTTGCTAAATTTATTTTTTTTAAACGTTTTCTTGACGTTTCTGTGAGACCAAATTTGGATGAGCAGTGTTGTACAATTGCGTTTGTACGTCAATTTTTGATCTTTCGACGAAGTTTTCTCAAACAACGCCTGAACTGAATTCAAAATTTTTAAATCCACTCGACGAAACTTGATATGGACTAGCGCTAGTCATAGATTGGCTGAGTCGTTTCTTCAGAATTAAAAAGTTCGGTAAAGTTCATGGTCTAACACTAAACGAACTTCCTAAAATAATAAAACCCTACAAAGAGTGGCTGAATTAATAAATATAATTAACACGTTCACGCCGGGGCCGATTTCGGCATGTTTTTCTGTGAGGCTACACGTGGTTATTGCCTTCGAAATGCGGGTCACCAGTGGCCCACGCCGGCGTGAATGTGTTTATGCACTGTAATTCATGTAAGAGTTATAGATATTATGAGCCTGTTTGAAATTGGGATATCAATTGCAAATTGCATTAATTCTTTTTTAGTGAAAGCGTAAACATCGTTTTCAAAATGCAATAGTTGAAAATTTTATCTAAATAGCGAAATAAATTGATCTTATCCAATCGACTTATATTCATGCAACTTGCTAAGACAAAATACCACTTACACATAGCTGTAGTTGTTTTGAATTTAGATGATAAAATATTCACTGACAAAAGATAAATTTTAAATTCACACCTTAATTTTTTGTGAGTGACTCACATACGTTGATAACTGTAGCATAAAATTTTTCAAATTCTCTTCATAATATGATAAATATTTTATCTGCCATTTGATTGCAGACACTATAATTTATTTGTTGTTCTATTGCAGAACATAACTTATAATATCAATTAATTAGTATTATTTAATTATTTGAATAATTGAAACAATATTTAATAAACTAATTGTGACAATTAGTTCATTTTCAACCTTCTCGATAGGAATCAACGTCGCTTTTCGTATATCTAATATCTGACATTTAAATTTGATTGCAGGCATTTCAAAATTTATTATTGTTTCTTACAAGTAAATGTAGGAAGATTGAAATGTAAATACAATAGACAAAAGTAAACCCAAGGTTTAACGAGTTTAAGGAAAATGCCATTGTCTCAGTTTGACTCCTCTTCAGTGGATAAAAGACACAAATTATTTGAAAATAGAAAAACCACGATTAATGATTAATGAAATATTGCCATCATCCAAAATGAATGTATATATTTAACTTAGGTTTAATTTTAGAAATCAAATATACTTTTATTTCATAAACATGGCTCTTATACAAGATTTATATTCATTGATTGTGGTTTCTGTGTTTACCAGTTTAACAACTGGATAACAAATTAAACTATTCTTTAATAATGAATTGATTATTATTAGTAATTGCTTTTCGTCTTGAACAAATACATCTGTAAAAAACCTGCTACTGAACCATTTCCAAAAATTTCAGATACTTATTTTATTAAATAAATTTGTTTTACATATAATATGTACATATAATATGAATTTTTTCAGTGATGAATTACATGAATTGAGCCATTGGATCATCTTCCCTTCTACGTTTCATGTAATAAGCCTCCATTTCCTCAGATGTTGGTTCTTGTACAACTGCCATACTATTATATGATCGTTTCCTCTCATCCATTGTCAAAAGTTCTTCAGCCTTTTTAATGTTTAATTCCTCTCGCTGCAAAGCTTCTTTTAATTTATCCATTTTCGATTTTTCGAGTTTTTCTATTTTTTTCAATTTTTTTCTTTTCTTTCTGTTTCTTCTTCTTACTTTTCTTCTTTTTCTTTTCAGTTTTCGATGCTTTATATTCCTCTTCTGAACTATGTGAAGATGATGATTCAGAATCACTTTGTTCCTTTGATTTTTCAATCACATCTTCTATTACTTCAGAAGTTGGTACTTCAGGTATTTTAAAAGTATTATCTGGTTTTACATCATTATTGCACATAGATTTTCCAGATTCTCCAACACAATATGAGTTTTTAATAAATGAATGACAACACTTGTAACCCCATAGATGATTGCTCCAGTAAGAACCCCATACTGATGTATGATTATTTATTAAAGCATCCTCCTCATACTTCGTTCTAATAATTTTCTTTTCTTGGCCTTTAATTACATCTCCATATCTGGAGTATTCAACATACTCTTCTGTTTGAGCAAGTAATAAGCTCTTCGGAGGCACTTTTAAATGCTCTTCACCACCATATCTTTCTAAAACTGAATCTTTGACTAAAGATTTTATTTGATCTTTCTTCTTTTCATACTCTTGTTGTAATAATTCTAATTTTGTTGGTTCAGCTAACAAATGTACATCAACACCACTACCATAAGCTTCCCAGGCAAAACACTGTGCTACTGCATGCTTCTGCGTGTCGCCTGTGAAACGTACAAAGTTTTCTCCAACAAAGTCTGATTCATCTGCATTGGGATTTGGATTGTCACGCATTGATCGAGTCTTTGGATCATAATAAGCTGAATTTGGATCTAAATTTCTAAGATATTTTGCTGTATCCTCCCGAATACGTAAGTTTCTTACTGTAATACGTTGCTTAGAATCCACTTTAGTTCCAGGCATATCTACTTCATCAACATATTTATCCTCATCCCCTTGTTCATCTTCTGAATCTGATTGTGAAGCGTTAGGATCTTGTTTTAATTTTTCAGCACGTAATTGACGTTTAGCTTCTTCTATTTTTTGGTATTCTTCAATAATAGCTTTATGCTGTGAAGGGTCATATCCACTCCATCTATCTCGTTTACCGTCATAATCTACTACTAATTCCGGTTGAACAAATTCATCTGGTGCAATTTGGGCACCAGTAAATTTAGCCCCAACTTTTCGAGGTCTTTCCATACAATCTTTTTTCTTATGTGTCATTGCACCACAGTTTTCACAAGCGCCTTTTCTATATTTTGCGACGATCTTAGAAGTGTCAACTCCTCGTTTATACCATTCATCTAACCCCGATAACTTCTTCTTTTCCTCTTGGGGACGTTGATGCTTTAAAGTGGGACCACTTGTTCCATAATACCATGGCGCTGAACTAATATATTGCGGTATATGAGGGTTAATATCGCGGCCTTGTTCGTCAACGGCAGCAGGCGCTGTACCTGCTTTTCTTGCTTCCTCTAGTTCTTTCAGTTTACGCCAATCTTCACGAGACTTCTTTTTCGGTTCATCTTCAATGACATCAGATCTGTCTCTAAGCAATTGGGACACAGTAGCCCCAGTACTTCTACTAACCATTTTGATATTATTTTGCACAAGCACGCGTATAATGAATATAACTCAATACTAAAATTTAGATATTATAATGCAATTTAATAATTGATACAAAAATAAAAGTAGACTCATTTCTGAAAACCTACACACAAAGATAGACTTTTAGTTTTAGCGAATTTGACATTTCTACGCACACGGGCAAACTTACTTCAGATTATTTACATATAGACAGACACACCAACATAAAACAGTAACATCTAAATCTAGTAAATTTATACTTGTTTATCTATGATCTAAATAATAACGTTTCTCTGATTTATGAATCTCTTGAATGTTTATTATCATCTTATTTATTTTATTTTCTCGTCAACTAATAAAGAATAATTATTTGTTCATTCTGATTAATCTTATTTATCTATGACAAGTGCCTCCAACAATTCAACGCTGGCAACGTTAAAAACCAAATGTTGGCATGAAGTTCGATCCTTTCAAATGTCACTTGAATATGGTTTGTAGCAGTGTCAAATTATTGTTTTTATATGCTCTTTTATTATCAGCCATCAATTTTGCAAAGATTCAATTTACATTATTCAAACAATACTTATTTTTTTTATCCATCTATCTTGAAATCACCGTTAAAACACAAGAAACTTGACCATAGTACAATTTTTTAACCTATCACTATACTGCAAGTTTCTACAATATTTCTAAATGCGCAAATGAGGGTATCAACATCAAACAATATTTTGTTAATGAACTTTGACAGTTCCAGTTTTTTCCTATTTTTTTCTATTCCTAGTTTTATATCATCACAATATTTTCCTATGTTATTCTCAGTTTGATGCTGCGTTTAGAAGTGTATATTTAATGGATTTTTTGCCGGCAAAAGAATCTCAAGACATCAGACATTAAAACCAAACAATATATAATATTATCTTGCTTCAAACAATCTGTCATTTTTACAAATGTTTTTGTTTTCAAAGAAGTATTAAATAATAATTGTATTGTTGGGCTTAAGGGCTTTCTCTTTCTAAGGTTTTTCACTGAAATGAGTCCTGTATTTGAATAAATAAATATAAACTACACACACATATATATATATATATATATATATATATATAATATATTGGTACAGAAAACCTACTTCGTCAGGTGCATATCATCACTACACCTAATACTACCCGTAATAGTACACGCAATTATTTTATCTCATTCTTCTTTTCAAAGTCAGAACACAACATTAATAACCAAAACTCAAACTCCTATCCAACCTGTCCACTTCATTGCCAAAAAAAAGTTTTTTTCTCAAATTAAATCTTTATCGATCCACATAAAATTGGACTCCTAGCATAATTCAGTAAATCATAGTACGTAATTCCATAAAGTTTTTAAAGCACCAATTTTTTATCGTAATACCTTCATAAATGTATTAGAATAGATTAAATTAATTGTGATAGTATAATTAATAATACTTTGATATAATTTCAAATATTTATTGTGGGTTACTGGGATAAGTATTGAATTTAATACATTTTGAAAAATATAAGAAGTTAAAAAAACTTATGAACTTAAACTAAAAGTTTATTATCAAGAAAATCAAACAAAAACTATGAATTAATGAACAACAGAGAGAGTTAGCAATGTCATAATAGTCTCGATTTGTGTTATTTAGAACTCAGGGCTTATTCCTTATATTCTTTAAAACCTTTATATTAAAATTTTATTTAGTCGTAATGCCATTTTGCCAGTTTTCGTACTTGAATATTTATATATACAAATCGATTCCGGTCTGATTAAAGATATATGTGACAAGTTCGTGAATTTTCAAAAAAATGACTTGAATTAAAATTTTCAATATATCTTGCAAAGAAAATAAATAAACAACAATTAGGTATGTATATGGAAATCGTCGATGTCATAGATAAATAAACATAAAATGATCGGTGTTTAGAATTACACAAAAAACATACTATAATTTCGTCACAATAATATACAGTCATTTCCAAACTTATTCACATGATAAGAATCAATAAATTTAACTATGATAGTTTATCATAGTTGAAAATAAAAAACAAAAATAACAATTTCAATCTAACTTTTCGTTATTGCGTGTCTCAAGTAATACTGATGCTTAAGATGGGTGAATATAATTACGACAAAAATTAAATTGTCAATTTCTCGAAAATTGTGTTTTATAACAAGTTGATTTCGCTACACAATTAGCTTATTAGCTTATTAGCTAATAATTTTACTAATTTAAATAAACTTACGGTTAGCGGCGAGTGTGGCTTAGAAGTTAAGCACTCAACTCAATTCAGAAGTACTTGGATCGAATAAATTGATATTATGGACTTAAAAAATTGTCCCTGAAATAATAATAATTAGCAAAACAAACTTACCAGTAGGATATCACATAACATCCTTTAAAAAATATAACTACCGAACTAACACTGTACCGCCTTAAACTGATAGATAAACTGTAAACACTGACCTACACTGACCACTGATGAATACGAAGCGATTATTACTTAGGC